TCTTCTATGATTTTTACACGTAACGCTTCCGGATTCGGTAAATCATCGCGAAATTCTATTGCACATCTAAAGTTCTCGAAACTTGGCGGCAAGCTATACAATAGCATGATTGTTAACAAATCGGGGTTCACTTCTACTTCCATTTCGCTCAGTTTATCTACCGTATCGAAGAATTTCCGCAAATGTTCTCGAATGTCGCTTCCGTCTTCCACTCGGTGTAGAGTTTAGCTGCTTTAGTAGAGTCGCTTTCCGTGCCGGTCCCGTCGACTGATATATGGACTGCAGTTTTCGCCACACGGCGTTTGATGTCTCACATCCTTTAACTTGTTTCAGCTCGGAAGGGGATATTCCGAGGATGATGTCCGATCTCGCCTTTCTATCTGCCGCTTCCCATGCGGCGCCGGCTGCGATTGATTCCGCATTTGTTGCAACGATTTCGGGTTTAACGATTTCTCCGTTCACGTATCTCCATGAATCGTTCTTGATGAGTAGCGCTTCCATCTGAATCTTCCAGATATCAAAATTGTCCTTGTTCAATGGCTCGATTCGTACGGCATGGTGTGACGCCATTTTCCTCCTTTTATTGTACTATTCGACAGCGTACGAGATGCGTGTGACTCGCCTCGTTTCCTCACGTACACTTCACACTTACTGCTTACACTTATTCCGTGAGTCCTGGGCCCATAACCTTTTGGAGCGGGGTCACGTGGACGTAAGTTCTATAAGTCGTGCACTTTATTGGTAAAAGGAAATGTCAGCTTTATTTCGGAACATGCGTGTCGGACAAACGCTACAACGCTACTGAGAGGTGATGCGCAAGGTGGCCGAGTGACGCTACCGCAGAGAGAACAGTATAGATGGCGCTATGAATGCAAGCCCGCGTATCGCAATGCATGTATCAAACTAGGGACTTTAACATAAACAAATGGATAGTGTGAGAAGTATAGAACTTATTTCGTTCAAATTATTGATGCTAATTAACAATTATCAAAGAGATAGATCATAGGTATCTTTTTCTGATTATTAAATAATATACTTTAAACAAATACAATATTTCAGTCCGATTTCTAAGTTTTAATTAACAATTTACATACAAACAGATCTCAGATATCATCGTTAATACCCGATTATTAAATAATAGACTTTAAACAAATGCAATAGTTCAGTCCAATTTCTAAATATTAATTAATCTTAATTAACAAGTTTCAAATATCATCATTAATTTGTTATAAAAGATATCGCGTTAAACATTTTATTATTTGTATTCACAAACAACAAGGATGAAATGATGACACGTAAGGACACGTTATGTTTTCGAAC